ACTATCTACGGGGATGATATACCCGGCAACGGCCATCCCCCGCGCATCCCGCATCCCCTGGGACGGACGGAGGGCCGCGGCCGCCAGGGTTGTCACACACCTAGTGGAGAGCAGCCCGAAGTACCAGGAGGAATGGAAGTGCTTCACAGACAAACTCGACAATCAGAAAGGACAGTGCCCCCACCGACAGCCATTGCATACACTCACCCTCTTTCTCTCAGGGATGGAGGATTACCTATCAGGAGGAACGATAGAGCTCCTCGCCGGCCAGCCCAAGGTGGCAAAGACCAGTGACGCTGATAAAGAAGGTCCCCCTACAGCCATTTGGCTCAACAGGCCCCAGGAGGAACTGTCTGGCCCCACCTCTCAACACGCATGTGGCCACGCGTCCCCCCAGCAACCCGTCGCGCCAGGTCAGTCTGACGGGTGCGCAGGAGACGTGCCGCCCCCATGCAAGTACGGGGGCGGCGGCGGCGAGTATGAAGGGATCGACTGGGATGAGTCCAACAAGGGTTCTGAACCGGACGTCCAGGCGCACGGCAGCCCACCATGCCTTTCCGACTCCGATGTGCAGGCCAGCCCCGCACACCAGGTAGGCGATGCCGACGTTCCAGGACCGAACAATCGTGAGCCCGCCCTGGGTACACCTCCCCTGTGGTCCCAACCCCCCCTGAGGGTCGACTCGCAAGCCTGGCCCCCATATGCACGGGCCTTCGCAAACGCGGTCAGTGACGGCAGGGGGCTCAGGCAGCCGGAGAACAAAACAGACCGCCGACCTCCCGCAATTCCCGAAGACACCTCCACAGGTCGCTCTTTCCCTCTGCCCCGCAGCTCGCCCAGGCAGCAACGCAGCGCGGGTCGGGGGCGCGACGCGCAGTCAGCAACAATCCCACCAGCGCGCCCTGATGATCCCATGGGTGGTCCCCCCATGTACTTGCGGCCCATCAGCGAAGCAAATGTCACAAGGGACGAGCCAGCACCAGATAAGATCATGAGGTTGCAGAAGACGCTGGGAGGTCCGTTCGACGGAGTATGGAGCGCCTGGGTCCGTAAGGCAGGAATCAAGCAAGGGAGCACATGGGTCAACATCAAGTCTGACCCCAGGAAGAATACGGTGCAGCAGTGCGACGACTTCCTCCAGGCATGGAGCAAAGTAGGTTACGATGCCTACAGGATGGACGAGGAGTACCAGCTCCAGGTTGAATGGCCGAACATTATGGACAAGCAGCGCAGGCTTACACAGCGCGACATGAAAACCCGTACCCCCGAAGGACCCATCGGAGGCGGAAGCTGGGACCCATGGGCCGACGAGGACAAAGTGGCTTCCAATGCCCCCACACAGTCCGCTGACGACAAAGGCGCCTCGCAGGCAGCCGCCTCGGGAGGGCCCATCGGTGGCGGACGCTGGAACCCGTGGGCTGACGAGGGCAAAGAGGCTACATGGCCCCTCCCGCTGTTCACCGACTACAGAGTCGCCACACAGACATGCGCATCAGGATCGGCCGCCCCCTGGGGTTCACCAGCGGGACACATGGGTCGACGCAGACTGGAGGGGCATGGGGAAACGGTCTTCCCCCATAGGGGATACACGCTATGCTGACAAGCGCCAATGGGGGAGGGACTCCGCCCCCAAGTGAGCACGACAGGGACCCGCCACCAGGAACCTCGCCCCCCCCCCCCCCCTGGCCTGGGGAATCGGCCCTCCTGTCTGGGAACTGTCGGTCTGCGCGCTACTCGCCTCCCACCTGCACGTTTGCCCCTTCCCCGCTCTCTCAAGGGCTGGCCTGCGCAGCTCGTCTGCGGCTCAAGACCTTTCCCCCCCACTCGCGTCAGTTCTCAGAGTTGCCGCTCAGCCCGTCACGGAACGCAGCGCTTGCTTTCTGGGCAACAACGACCTCGGGCAGCTGGGGACAGCCTCCACCTCCCTATACAAAGTGGCCCCCATCGCGCTGACCCTGTGGGCCATATGGGACCCCTCTGTGCCAGGCGGGGCCCAGTGGGTCGGCAGCCCCATGGTCCTCAACCGTCCCTTTGCTGCGCGCAGACACGCAATTGGTGAGGAATAAAGACTGCACGGACGGCTGCCCCACACGGGCCATCGCTGCCGTGGGTGGCCCCTTCGCGACGGGGACTGCTTTCAGCGCAGTGACAGGCCGAGGCCTTAATACTCTTGTGGCACCTCTTGGGGCTGAGGTGCACCTATACCGTCACACTGCGTTTAGACTACACACGCTGGTTCGTGGGCTTCATAGTCCGTGAGGATTCGGCTGAAATGGTCCACTCCCACGGTTCCCTTTGGCCTTGTTCTCTGGACAATGGTCCGTCTTTGTCCGCTTGGGCACCCACTTTGGACGACTGGGGCTGCAGGCCACAGGCCCACCCCATGTGCTCCACCTGTCGTGCCGCACTCTTTCCGCACTTCCTACCTCTCGTCCACTCTTTCCACCTCTCGGTGGCCCCGGTCAGGTGGCGTTGCCCCCCCCACCTGCCGGTCGCTTTTCCCCCCTCAAGTTCGCAACTCGTGCAACGCGCACTGTTGGGTTCTCTGCGGTCACCGCCGCCGCCGTGCCCACCGGCTTTGCCCCTCTCCCCTCCTCCTGTATTTACCAGATTTGCGGCTATCGGCTGCGCCTCCCCCCGTTGTGTGCCGCGCCACTCGGCCTCCCCCCGTCGTGGCAGCGTTCACGTGCATGCTCCGAGGTGGTCACGCCTATCCCAGCAGCGGGGTGCGATCACCCGCTGGCTCCGGCGGGTGGGCCTGGGGAGGCTTGATTCCTGTGCAAGTGGTCCATCCTTTGTCAGGGCTGAGCCTTCACATGGCAGGCCCGCCCCTCCGGCCCCCGGCTTCGCTTGTGACGTCGCCCCCTTCCTCTGGGCGGACTTGTTGCTCGCGTGCGCCAACGACGCCAACGACCGTTTCGACGGTGCACGGCGCGCATGGCCCACGACAGCCCAATGGTTTTTCCACGGGCAGGTCCGCAGGCCTCCCGCTGGGTGGTGCAGCCGTGGTACCACGCAGCGTTCCCCCCATCCACAGTGGCAAGGAAGTTGCAGGCTGGGATTCTCAAGACTAGGCTGCCGACGCCTGTCATGGTTCGACGCACCTGTCTTCGAGCACTGCAGGTGCTCTGTGAGTGAGGCTTCCTTCCTTCCCCCTCCCCTCGTCGCCTCTTGCGCCTGTCCCCCCTTCCTCTCCTCCTCGCCGCGTGTGGCGGTGCCTTTCCTCGGGCTCTGTGCTGCCCGCACAGCGTTCCCACCTTCTCGCAGGCTTGGTCTGTGGGGGCTGGCGCCACAGTGCGACCCTCCGCCGGCTTTTCCAGTCTGCTGCCGATTTCCGTTCCTCGGGGCGGCTCCAATTAGGCTCATTTTGTCCCTCGCGCGTGCATTGCGGCGTTGGCCTATGTGCCTCCGTTGCCAATCGTCTCGCATTGCGCCCCTGTCGAGATTGACCCGCTCTCTGGGAACCGTCCTTGGAGCCGCAGATCAACATAATATACCCACCAGCCCCTCTGGGCCCCCTTCTGGCCGGGCTTCGCCAGGCGTGCCGGCTGGCCTCGATGGCTTCGCCCCCCTCCCCAGGGCCGCCCTGGGCCCCCGCTGTCCGTGGCAACGTCTCCTCACCTTCAACGGCGGTTAGCTGCGACCCTGGAGGCCCGCGTGGTATGGTGGAAGGACGGTGACCCTGGATTTCCGCGGGGAATGGCGGACGCGGCGGACAAAGCCGTCCCATGGTGGCCTGCGGCGCCACGCGGCTGCGACAGCGAGGCTTCGCCCCGGACGCCCCACCCTGCTGGCAATGGTCTTCCCACCAGCTTGGCCCTATGCCGCACACGGCCCCTGGAGGTACAGCCAGCTCTGAGTGGTTCAGCCTTCGCAGTTTCGACCGCCCAGAACCCCCGCTGACAACGGTAACTGCGACCCTGGACGCTCGCGTGGAATGACGGATTCGACGGATACCCTGGTTCCCTGCGGGGAATGGCGGGTTTGGCGGATAAGGCAGTCCCACGGTGGCTTTCGGCGTACATCAGGCGGCAGCTGCCGTGCCTTCAGTGCAGCCCCATCCCTGGATCCCCCTGCCTCGCTGGCGATGCTCACCACGCCTGCCTGGCTTTCTCCTACTGACGTCCGGGCCTCCCTCGGGCACTGGATGATGGCCCTTTGGGTACTGTGGTCGCGCCGGAGTGGTTTAGCCATCTGCAGTCGCAACAGCACCCGGGACCCATCCCCCTCTTCAGGCAGGTTTGCGACGTCCCTCGGCAGCTCAGCCCCCCTAGCCCGCACGTGCCGTTGGGACGGCCCTGGGCCTGGCGCCCCACTGGCGACTCGCCCATCGGTCTTCGCGCCTGTGCGCCCACCCAGCATGATGGACACGTCGGCACGAGTGCACGTCGACGTCGTCTGTGTGGGTTATGCCTCACGGCATGCACCGAATTTTTCGGCATTTTGTCAGACTGCACGTGCCTGAGCTTCCCTGGATGCCCCCAGCTGTGAGCCTCCCGCACAGCCCCGGTGCTGCTTGGTAAGTGGGCCGGCCGGCTTGCGGCGCGTCTTGTAGCTAATTAGCCTTGTTCGCAGCCCCGGACAATTGCTTTCCGCGCCTGCGCTCTTCGTTTGCGGCCGCGACCAAAAAGTACACCCACCAGCCCATCCATAATTGATTGCCAGTTTTCTTGAGGCTTCTTGGAGGCTATCTTGAGCCATGCTCGGCTAGAGGCTGTCGGAGGCTATCTTGAGCCATGCTCGGCTATCTTGGGCCATCTTGAGGCTGCCTTGAGGCCTCTTGGAGGGCTGTCGGAGGCTATCTTGAGCCACGTTCCGATTCGATCCGATGATTCGATCCAATGGCCCGATCCGATGCTGGCTGCCAGTGCCGGCGAAGACATGCAGACGGCACCGTGGTTTCTGTCCAATCCATCTCCGCGCCGATGCAGGCCGAACCGATGCACGTTCCGATCCGATCCTATGGCCCGATCCAATGCTGGTTGCCCATGACCCATGAGGACAAGCAGACGCTGCTGTCGTTCCTGTCCGGCGGCGGTAACCCCTTCTCGCAAGGCTACGCCCCGCAGAGCGGCCAGATCGTGGGGTTGCTGAAACAGCTGGGGGACAGCATGGCAACCAGGTCAGGGAGGAGGGGGGAGGGTGAGGCTGCCGATGATGATGATGATGATGATGATGATGATGATGATGATGGGTTGGATGAGGATGAGGATGAGGATGAGGATGAGGATGAGGATTATGATGACGATGACGATGCTGATGATGACGATGATGATGATGCTCATGCTGATGATGATCATGATGATAATGGTGGTAGTGATGCTGGTGGTGGTGGTGTCGTGGTGGTGATAATGACAATGGTTTATGATGGTGATGACGCTGATGATGATGACAATGATGATGATGCTGATGATGATGACGACGATGATGATGACGACGACAATGATAATGCTAATGATGATGATGGTGGCGATGATGATGATGATGATGATGATGATGATGATGATGATGATGATGATGATGATGATCGTGGTGGTGGTGGTGGTGGTTGTGGCGGCGGTGGTCAAAATGACAATGGTTGATAATGGCGATGCTAATGATAATGATGATGACGATGATGATGATGATGATGATGATGATGGTTGTGGTGGTAGTGATGATGATAATGGTGCTGGTCGTGATCATGATGATGTTGATCTTGATTGTGTTCATCACGATCATGATGCTGATTGTCATGATGGTGGCGGTGGTGGCCATGATGACAGCAATTGGTGATGATGATGATGATCATGACGAGCATGGTGATGATTGTTGTGGTGGTGATGATGGTGTCGGTGGCGGTCATGATGACAATAATCAGTGATGATCATGATGATCATGATCATGGTGGCCATGATCATCATGATGATGGTTGTGGTGGTGTTGATGGTGTTGTGGGGGCAATGATACTGGTCGATGGTGATGAAAATCATGCTGCTAATGATTGTTATGATGATTCTGATGATGTCGGTGATGATGATGATGATGATCATGCTGATGGTGATGATGATGATGACGACGAGGGTGGTGGTGGTGGTGGTGGCGATGATGATGATGGTGGTGGTGGTGATGATGATGATAACGATGCTGATCATGACGACGATGTTGATGATGATGGTGATTATGGTGGTGATGATGATTGGCGTTTGTTGTCATGACGGCAATATTTGATGATGGTGATGAGGATGTTGATGATGATGATGACCATGCTGATCATGATGATGATGGTGGTGGTCATGATGGTGGTGGTGATGATGGCAATGGTTGGTGATTGCTATGATGAGAATGGTGACGATGATGATAACGATTCTTATGATGATGACGATGCTGATGATGATGCTCATACTGAGGATGCCGATGATGATGATGATCATGATGGTGATGACGATGACGATGACGATGCTGGTCTGAATGGTGATGGTGACGATTTTGATGATGATGGTGGTGGTGATGATGATGATGGTCGTTATGGTGGTGACGATGACGGTTTGGTGGTCGTGACGCTTATCATGATAATGATAATGACCATATCGATCATGCTGACGGTTGTGGTGGTGGTGATGATGGTGGTGGTGGTGATGATGACAACGATGATGATCATGACGATCATGATGGTGATTGGTGGTGGTGGTGATGATGGTGTCGGTGGTGGTCACGAATAATATATTGTATGATGGTGATGATGATAATGATGATGATACTGATGATGACGATGATGATGATGCTGATGCTGATGCTGATGCTGATGATGATGATGATGATGATGATGATGATGATGATGATGATGATGATCATGACCATTCCGATTATGCTGGTGATGATGATTATGAATGGTGGTGGATGCGGTGTTGATGGTGGTGGTGGTGGTGGTAATGTCAATGGTTGGTGATGATGGTGATGATGATGATGCTGATGATCATGATGATGCTGATGATGATGCTGATGCTGGTGGTGGTGATGGTGGTGATGATGATGATGATGGTGGTGGTGGTGGTGATATGATGATGGTTGTGGTGGTGATGGTGGTGATGATGATGGTGGTTGTCGGTTATGATGATGGCGACAAGTGTGATGATCATGACGATCCTAATGATGGTTTTGGTGGTGGTGATGATGGAGGCAGTGGTGGTCATGATGACATGATTTAGGATGATTATGGTGGTTGTGATGATGGTGGTGGTGATGATGATGCTGATCATGGTGGTATTTGTGATGATGATGATGATGATGATGATGATGATGATGATGATGATAGCGATGATGATCATGACGGTCATGGTTATGATTGTGGTGGGGTGGTGATGGTGCCGGTGGTGACCATGATGAAAACACTTGATGATGATGATGTTGGCCATGATGCTGATAATCATGATGATCATGATGATGATGATGATGATGATGATGATGGTGGTGGTTATGATGGTGGTGGTGGTGGTAATGACAATGATTGATGGTGGTGGT